GGATCCTGGGTACAGGGCTCCTTCCAAGCTGCTCCCGGACGTGCTGTGGACGCTCACCCTGCAGGGCACTGGACCCCCGTGAGGACACGGCCCAGCACTCTGCACAGGCACATCAGACGCAAGCAGGACCAAGACTGGCAGGGACAGGAGTGGCCGCTGAGACAGCAGCAAAGCTGTTCCTTCTCATCCTTTGGGTTCCCCTTCCTTTAACTTGTCACATCCTGATACAGGGTATTAAACTTATATTTGAATTAAAACATGACGTAAAACAAAAGTCTGGGTCTCATCTGGACACCACAGGTTGTTAGCTCTCTGGCATGATAAGTCATGTGGCCTCCTGAAGGCTTAGCATCTTCTGCCACAGGTGGGCAGTGAGGGTCACCCTGACTGTGGGGGCGTTAGGCCACATCCTCCAGAACAGCACACACCACCACAATCGTTCTGGGCGGGGCCATAAGAACTGCTGCATGTGGGTGTGCAGGCTTCGGTGCGAGCTGTGGTACATGCACATGCAAGCTTCAGTGTGAGCCACGGTATACGCCTGTGCAGGCTTCAGTGTGAGCTGCTGTCCATACACATGCAGGCTTTCGTGTGAGCCGCTGTATGCATGCATGTGCAGGCTTCGGTGTGAGCTGCAGTACATGAGCATGCCTGCTTCAGTGTGAGCCGTGGTACACGTATGTGCAGGCTTCAGTGTGAGCTGCAGTACATGAGCATGCCTGCTTCAGTGTGAGTCGTGGTACACGTATGTGCAGGCTTCGGTGTGAGCCACTGTACAGGCGCGTGCAGGTTTTGGTGTGAGCCACTGTACAGGTGCATGCAGGCTTCGGTGTGAGCCGCTGTACTCATGCACATGCAGGCTTTGGTGTGAGCCACTGGACAGGTGCATGCAGGCTTTGGTGTGAGCCACTGGACAGGTGCATGCAGGCTTCGGTGTGAGCCGCTGTACAGGTGCGTTCAGGCTTCGGTGTGAGCCGCTGTACAGGCGCATGCAGGCTTTGGTGTGAGCCGCTGTACTCATGCACATGCAGGCTTCAGTGTGAGCCGCTGTACAGGTGCGTGCGGACTTCGGTGTGAGCCGCTGTACTCATGCACATGCAGGCTTCAGTGTGAGCCGCTGTACAGGTGCGTGCAGACTTCGGCGCTGTACAGGCGGGTGCAGGTTTGGGTGTGAGTCGCTGTACAGGCACATGCAGGCTTCGGTGTGAGCCGCTGTACTCATGCACATGCAGGCTTCAGTGTGAGCCGCTGTACAGGTGCGTGCAGACTTCGGTGTGAGCTGCTGTACAGGCGCGTGCAGGCTTCGGTGTGAGCTGCTGTACAGGCGCGTGCAGGCTTCGGTGTGAGCTGCTGTACAGGCGCGTGCAGGCTTCGGTGTGAGCTGCTGTACAGGCGCGTGCAGGCTTCGGTGTGAGCTGCTGTACAGGCGCGTGCAGGCTTCGGTGTGAGCTGCTGTACAGGCGCGTGCAGGCTTCGGTGTGAGCTGCTGTACAGGCGCGTGCAGGCTTCGGTGTGAGCTGCTGTACAGGCGCGTGCAGGCTTCGGTGTGAGCTGCTGTACAGGCGCGTGCAGGCTTCGGTGTGAGCCGCTGTACAGGCGTGTGCAGGCTTCGGTGTGAGTCGCTGTACAGGCACATGCAGGCTTCGGTGTGAGCCGCTGTACTCATGCACATGCAGGCTTCAGTGTGAGCCGCTGTACAGGTGCGTGCAGACTTCGGTGTGAGCTGCTGTACAGGCGCGTGCAGGCTTCGGTGTGAGCTGCTGTACAGGCGCGTGCAGGCTTCGGTGTGAGCTATGGTACACGCGCATGCAGGCTTTGGTGCGAGCCTACATTTCCTCTCTCTCTAGAGACTGGGAAGGGGACAGCTGGGTCATAGGACACAGATTTCCATGTATGAGAAGCTGCCAGGTCCTCCCAGATGGCTGCAGTATTGCACATTCCCACCAGTGACGTCGAAAGCTCGAGGTGGTCCACATCCTTGCCAGCACTGGGCGCTGCCAGTCTTTGTGATTTTATCCGTTTTACTATGCTTGTGGGGACAACTCACTGTAGTTTAATTTGCGTTTACCTAATGGTCAGTCCTTGTCAGCATCTTCATGTGCGTATTTGCCATCATAAAATCTTTGCTGAAATGTCTCTTGTCCATTTCCACACTGAGTTCCGATTTTCACTCGTTTCTGACCTTTGAGTACTTTTAAACCTGGGCACAGGTGTCTTTGGTCAGCGAGTGTCTTCTCGCCCCTGGGAGTGGGCCGTGCACGTGGGTGGAAGCCTGACTCCTCCATGTCCTCCTGTGGCCACAGTAGGGTGCCATGTTGCTGGCTAAATTCCTTTCTTAAATCACTAGGTAATTTTTAAAAGTTTATTTTTTTCTGTGAGTGGGAGGGACGGGGGTAAGGCAGGAGAGAAGGGGAGAGGCAGAGTGTGTGCATGTGCACGCTATCCCAGCAGGGTCTTGACACCGTGATGGTCCCTAGCCTCTGCCAGCCCTGGGTCCCGGGGAAGTCTCCAGACCAGACCTGGGCCCTTTCCCAGTAGGCCCGTCGTGCAGCATCATGTGCTACTGCTGTGCCACTGTCTGGCCCGCCACACGGTGATCTTTAACCCCTTTCTCACTCCAGGGAGTAAGAGGGTGAGTGCTGCCCAAGTGCCAAGGCCCAGCCCCCTCTAAGCCCCACTCCTGAGCAGCTATGACCACGGATGACCAGGAGGGCTGGGACAGGCAAAAAAAGAAAAAAAAGAAAAAAAAAAAAAAACGAAGAAAATTGAAAACCAAGAACTATCCAAACAAGTCGACAGAGGTCAGCTAGCTGAGATGATGCGACTCTGTTGAAGTGTTAATAGATGTGGTTCATTTAAGAAATAAATACGTGTGCACACGGTATAGGTAACAGAATTTAGCAACTCAGAAAATGGGTGGGGGGAGAGGATGAAAACCCAACAGAAAGAGCTCAGCAACAACTGGAAAATGGAGTCCTGATGGCAAAGTTTTGCAGACGTAAAATCTCATCAAGGGCCGAGTGCAGACCACTGGGCAGCACGAGCAACAGCCGGTCTTGCCTCTCCCTTTTAAGCCCTCCTTGGTACCATTCCTCCAGCACAGTAGCTCGTCTGCTGTCTGCAGATGAGGCTGGCTGTGGCTGCGCCGGAGGCATCATGCTAACTCCACAGCAGCTCAGGGCTGGGGACCACGGAAGACTGAAGGGCTCAGCCCCTGCCGCTGCTGGGGCTACACATCCCACCAGCACGCGTGTCCTCATTCTCCCGGCACGTGTGCTCATGAGCAGTGTGCACAGAGAAGCTGGAAGGGGACGACTTGCAGTGCAGACAGCCCCCGTCATCTGTGGTCAGCACGCACTCTCCACCACTCCTGTTACTGGGTCCTCCTGCTGCTGCCATTCGCGGAGAATCAGCAGACAGTGCTGGGCATGCATGCAGCAAGCAGCTCGACCGTGGACGGTGACACTTGCAGAATCAGGTGCTGTAACTGGCGCCGTAACACCACCACGAACCCCGTGAACCCACAGTCTGCTGCAGGGGCTTGTCTCTGCACCTCTGCGGGCACTGCTCCTCTGCCTGTTCTAAGGGTGATGTGTCCAGCTCCTGGGAGCGTGGCTTCACCAGGTCTCGGCTGTCACCTGCAGAGCTCACGCTACCTCACAGGCAGCTTGCCGGCACGTCTACTGGAGACGACCTCAACCCAACAACCCTGCTCAGCTTCTACCCCACCACTGACCACAGCGGGGTCTGTGCCCACCAGACCTGCTCCCGAGCAGGGTGACTACCATGCCTCTTCACATGCCCTGCTGGCCCTGCACTAATTCCCCTTGCCACAACTGCCCTGTTCCACTCGTGGACAAAGCCATCCAGAGGCATACACATGCAGACACTGTCACATGGTTTCCTTAGATGTTCATTCAACATTTAAAAGGAGAAACTTAATGAACCGTTTGCAGGTGCCTTTCTAAGATGTGTTTACACACACAGAGTGGGCACTGTTTAGAGAACTCTCTGGCATCCTGCCGTGTGCACATTTCTCTTCCAACACATCTGGCAAACCCTCCCACATCCACGTAGGCCTCCTCCCTTTCTTCTTCTTGCCACACGAGAGCATACCACACTGGCCTCACGGTGCGCCCACGTGGACACCGAACCGTGGCCGCCCGTACCTTCTCCCTCACGCACAGGGCGAGCAGTCTGGGAAGAGGGACTTACAAGTACGCTTGTTTCTCCTATCTAACCGCACAGATTCAGACCTTGGCCATTTTAACATCTGATTTTGCGTATCAAGACTTAGAGAACAATTCTCTTCTATCTTAATCTGATTACAGAGGGGTTAGAGCAGAGGGGTTTAAAACAACTCTAATTTTCCACATCGCCTAGATAAATCAGAATGAGTTAAGAGGAGGCACACGCTTATACGAATAAATGAAAAACGGGGCCCATCAAGTTTAGAGCCGTGAGATATTATTTGAGATCCAAAGAGATTCAGAGCTGGGTGCTGGGCCTGGAAGGGCAGGAAGCAAACACCACCGAGGGCATCCCTGACTGGGTCTCGGCACACGGCCCTTCGGCCTCCGGGATCGGTTACCCTGAGATAGTAAAATGGTGGCAGAGCGTGGGTAACGGGGCAGAGCACTCATGGGGACATCAAGAACTAAGCTCCGATCTATCGCTATCTATTCCGGTCACGGAAAGCAGACAGGATCTGCGTGTGTGGTGATACGTTTTCCCTTGGCCTTAGAGTCTGCGGTACTTTTTAATGTTCAAAAGAATTCAGCTTTTTATTATTTTTCTTTTAATACAGATTCACTCACATTTGGCCATCTCTGACACGAAGCACCATGTAACCATCACAAACACTGCTGTAATCAGAGAACAAAAGAACATACCCACATGAAAGGGAACACCCCGGCTGACAGTCCTGAGAAGCAAAAGCGAATAAAGGAAGAGAATCTATCAGATCCAGAAAGCCACGAGGGCTTAAAACTCTTACTTACTTTTCTATCAAATCCAGTGTGACACCAGGCACCAGACTCACACATTTCTGCATGCAAAACCTGCAGAGAAAGAGAAGAATGTGAGTGACAAGCGTGGGAAGCTGAGGACAGTGCCATGGTCCAGCACGAGCCACAGCTGTCGGAGGAAGGAAGGAGTGCAGCTTGCAGGCCCAGGAAGCCCTGGCCCTTTGGGGCCCCAGGCAGGCTGAACAGAGCTCAGCATCTTAGACCCAGCACTGGGGTGAACTGGGTATCTGCACTCTTCGTTTCTGAGAAAGTGAGCTGGGGGTGCTGGAAGGATGAGTAAAAACCCCCAGGGTGCACCAAGGAAAGTGGGAAGCAGACAGAGGCAGAGTCAATTACGTCATTTTAACTATCAAAATATCATAAGCGGGGAGATGTCCTATCTGCAGGCACACGTGTCCTGAGGAGAGGACAGGCACGCTCCACCCACACCGTGTGCACTGACGCAGGACTGCATCAGAGCCAGGGGCACTCTGCAGGACCATCGGTGGCAAAAGAGTGAAAAGGTGACTCAGTACTTTCAGTAGGAGAAATGTAAAATACTCCTTTCTTCGACTTTCAAAGTTAGAAACAATCAGTCTCCACCCAAAGCCTCAGCAGGTACACAGAAGACGCTCTCATGGACTCAGTACCTTTCCAGGCCTGCTGGATGGAGACGAAGAGGGGACACCAGTCAAGGGAGGGTACCTGCATGAGAGCGAGGCCATGCTGGTGGGAGAAACGGAAGGACGGGCCGGGGAGAGATCTGCTGTGGGACAAGAAGGGCCAGACAAAGGTGGGGCAGGCACAGAAAGATCCAGAACCAGAAAGACAACAGAACAGGGATGTGAAGAGACGGTTTGTCGGGTAAATGGCTCCTCACTCTGCAGCCCTTCAGGGACCGCTGTGCAGGGCTGCTAGGCTCTTGTTGCCTCAGGAAGCAATGCCCAGCCTGGCCAGCAGGGAAGAAGCTGTTTGTGCCTGTGACTGCAGCAGCCAGTTTCAGGGTTCAGAGAGTCGCCTCTTTCCCATGGGCACAACGGCAGGGTGGCCTAGAGCCTCCCCTCCTTCTGCGTGGCCCAGTCCCATGACTCTGCAGCCTGGAGCTGGCACAGGAAGTGCCTACAGTGGAGCAGGTCCACATAAACCGGGATCTCTCGGAGGACAAAAACGAACCCCAGGAAATGCACCTTCGAGCCTAATTCTGAGCCTTGTGCACACCATGCTCCTCTGTTGGTTGATGCTTTATCCACAATGTACTTATTGATTGGACTTTCTGGGGCCTAGTAATGACAGAATCATTTGGATCAGTCTAATCCTTTTGCCAATAACAATAATAAGGTCTGAACAAAATACAAAAACAACCATTTGAAATACTAAAGAACAAAAATGCACAGGCAGGAACCAGAAGGGCCATGACACTTAGGAAGGCAATCCCTCTGAATGACTCACCTTTACCTGGCTTTTCCCAAGTGTGCTCAAGTCACAGGCCCCCTGAGGACAGCACTCAGCTGGGAGTAGCAGCCTCCCTGGGCTGTGGAGCCAAGGCCAGACTCTAGTCCGCCAGCAGGCAGAATCTTAAAGGAGGGACCAGCAGTTAGCGTAATGGCTATGTCACTAAACTCCCATGTAGTCGACCACGGTTCGAGTCCCAGACCCCGTGGCTTAAACTCACGCAGAGCACATGTGCGTATGTGCCCAAGGTCCCAAGAGGAGAATGGAGGAGAAGGGATTGCGGTGTGGCCATCCCCCCTAGGGGGTGATTTCTTGCTTTCTGTCTCTCTGGTGAGCACACATGTCCTATAGCAAAAACCTCTCCAAAAAAAAAAAAAAAAAAATCTTCGAGGAGGGAGCAGAAATCTGCATGCGAGTTTTCCGTGAGTCCTGGACAGATGCCTGAACCACCTGGCACAGGCCAAGGCTCCAAGGACCCTTGCAGAGGACAACCAAAAGGCTGGAAATGCAGAGCAGAGATTTCAGCATCTGCTTGTTGTGGAAGCAGAGGGAGCTCAAGTTCGGCCAGAGCAGAGGGCCTGAGAACTGGAGGGGTGGGGTCTTACAAGCCACTTTCCAGGTGCAGAACCCCATCTCAGAACTGAGGGCAAAGCCCTAGAGACAGACCTACAAGTACACCTCCACGAGACTAGTCTGACTGCCTGCAGGGACAGAGTTACAGCTTTTCAGAGGAAGACAGCCACATCTAGAGCCCCTGACATGTCTCCCACAAGAGCAACTTACTATCTACAATCAAGAGAAAAACCAGTTGATGAAACTGGCTTCAGGGCTGCCCAGATGTTGGAATTAACAGACGCAGGCCTTAGAAATTAAAAGATAATTTAATTATTGACTAGGAATACACATCATTATGAATCCACTAAAAACATAAAGTCTGGGGGTTGTCAGGTGGTGTGGTAGTTAAGGGCGCTGGATTCCCACATGGCCAACCGTGGCTCAAGTCTGGGTCTAGAGGCTTGCTTTCTCACTTTCCCTCTCTCTCTTTCTCTTTCTCTCTCACTCTGTCCCTCTGGTCAAATTAAAATAAGTAAATAAATACACTTTTTTTTAAAAAAAGAGAGAGATTTAAAAAGAAAAAAAGTCCCCTTACATAGCAAATTAGAACATATAATTTTAAGATATTACAGTAAAGTTATATGAATAAGAGTAGCATGAACAAATTAATCTCTGATAACCCATAAATTTCACATTAGCCAGTGGCACCAATTTTCTCTGTACCAGAACGCGAACAGCTGGCTCATTTGTGCACTATTCCCGCCTTCCTTTTCGTTAGACTGCTACTGGGCATCAGGAGACCAGTAATGAAAATGGCTCCAAACACCCACCGGACTGGATGTAAACAATTCTAATAAAAACCACAATACCCGATATTTACTTAGGCTTACTATGTGGCAGACAAGGGTTCAGCATGCTTTCTGCAAATTATTCATTTAACCCTTACAATACCCTGTGAGGCGGTACAACCCATTGCATGGATGGGGGACATTTGTAAACGAGGTGCATCTCAGTAAATTTTAAGACTATTAAAGACAATGAGAAGACATGGGAAGTTTCCAAAGACAAAGAGGGGATCACTTCAAAGAAACAAGAATCAGATTAATACAGGCTGCAGGAGGACAATGGAGTTGTAGTCTTAATTTACTAAAGAAAAAGAACTTAGAATCTCAAGTTTCATACCCAAACTGTCACTTAAATGTGAGAGTGTAAGAAAAAGGCTCTCGGGCACAGAAGGGCTTGGAATGTTTCCCCAGAACAAGAAGATGGTTTTAGATGAAGAGCTTGGGTTATGCAGTGCAAAGTCCTGGAAATGCTGAGGAAGCCAGACGACATGATGCATAACCTGTTTGCCACTGTCTTAAGACAAAAAGAAAAACGCAAAGGGGAGCGGGGTGCCATCCATCCTAACCAAAACTGAAGATGCGGATCGCCACACGACGGGGTGGAGTGGGAGTACTAACCAACGACTACTGTTACCAAGCACACGTCAGTAACTACTGGAAACCAGTGAGAGCATCAAAATCCAACAGGGAACAGGAAGGGGTCCGAGCAGGCATCTCAAAGGCAATAATGGCCACTAAACCACTGAGGAGGCGTCTGCTGTGGTTCCAAGTCTGAGGGGCGCAGATCAAGACTCCATGGAGTGAGACATCCTTCCAGACCTACTTGGCTTTGGGAAATGTACAAAGAATAACAATGGCGTACTATAAAGGAGTTGGCTTCAAACACTGTTGCAGCATAAAATGGTATAGCCACTTTAAAAAAAAGAATCACTTTATTTATTATTATTATTTAATTTGACCAGCGATAGAAAGAGAGAAAAAGGTAAAGTGGGGAAGCAGGGTGCCAGGTTTGGGACTTGAACCATGGCTGGACATGAGTGAATCCAGTGCCTCAACCACCACACCATCTGCTGGCCCCAGTAAAGCCACTTTGAAAGACATATATTCTCTCCTTTAAAAAAAAAAAAATTGCCAGGGGCCAGCAGGAGGCATGATGGTTAAGGGCCCTGGACTCCCACATGACCAACCGTGGTTCAAGTCCCAGAACTGGCGGCTTTCTCTATCTCTCTCTCCAGTCAAATTTAAACAAATAAGTAGTTAAATAAAATTAAAAATATATAAATGTTTGTGAAAACACTTTCAAAAAAATTGCCAGAAGGTGCACGTGCTCACCAGAGAGAAAGGAGAAAATGCTCCTCATGGGCCGTGGCCACGCCACAATCCATTCTCTTCCCCTTCTCTATCCTGGTGGGATTTAGAGCACCGCACACACGCATTTGGTGTTTTTCCAAGCCACTGGGGTTGAGATACAAACTGCGGTCTGCCACATGGAGTCCAGCTCACCATTATATCTTAAAATGGAACACTGCAGCAGCACAGGAAGTAGGAGTGATGCTGTGCGATCTGGATGCCACATGAGGAGGTGCCAGGTTTGAATCCCATATCTACTCAAACATGCTGGGTGCTCCTGTGACCCTGTCTGGCTGCAAGGCTGGGGGAGGATCACAGTGTGGCTGAGAGTGCCCGTCTCTCCCTCTTTCTTTCTTTTATTTTTTAAGAATTATTTTGTTTATTTACTTTATTTACTTATCTATTTATTTTAATTTTGACCAGAGAGGGACAGAGATGGAGAGAGAGAAAATGGCAAAGCAAGTCACCAGGTCCAGGACTCGAACCGCGGTCAGCTATGTGGGAGTCCAGTGCTCTTAACCACCATGCCACCTGCCAGCTCCCATCTCCCTCTTTCTAATGAAGGAAATTAATAATGTTTAGAGAAAAAACTGAACATTTCCCAAAACTGTGATCCTGCAACTGCTGTTTCTCGGCACAAATTAAATCTACATATGCTCAGAAGGGCATTACTGTTCATCGCAGCCACAACAGATGGCCACGAAGCAAAGCAAACGTCCTGCTAACAGAGACTGTGGCAGGTCCGGAGGGCAGGATGTTCCTGGTTGGACTGCTCCTGTCCTCAGAGCGAGGCAGGATAGGGGCCAAAGGTCCCCACACTCTTATGCTCCTCTCCTGTTACCCGGGCCACAA